ATATTAAGCGAGGGAAGAGCACACTAGTGCAGAAGCACTCTAATGAAAAATGACATTTGGCTGATAATGTTGCCAGAATAATTAAATCCTGTCTCTGGAATCCCTTCTTTGTCTTGATTAAAACACTTCTCATCATAAAACACAGAATAAAGAAATTAATCAACAAACGTCTTAGATGGAGTGTTGAGAGATCAAAGCGTGGTTGTATTATCTTGAAAATAATACAAGATATTTTACTGTACTAATTCTTTCCCCAGGACTACATCAAAAGTATTACGTAAATATAACACATTTAGAAAAGTGTTTAACATTATAGGTATATTAACAATGTCACAGGTGACAAAAGGCATAAAAGAAATATCCAATGGACAACCCAAGTACAAATCTGTGGGTGCAAAGGGACTCCTATCTGTCCGGCTCAGCTGAGAGGAGTGACGTCAAATGCTCAGCCCTACGGAGGGACCGTGCAGAACAGAAAAATAGTTGAAAAAGTACAAAAAAATAAATAGAAAATGATTGTGCCGCCATTCCGCTATTCACTCACTGCTGTTCGGAATCTATGAGAATAGGCTGAACAGCGGCGAGTAGCCTGCCGGAGGTTTGGCTCAGCCGATCAAGATGTTGGATCGACTGAGTCGAACTCCTTCTGCACTTCGGGTCGGCCAAACATGCTGCGCATGTTTGGCCGACCCAAAGCCAGCCGCAGCAAGCCGATGTACGGCTAATTTTAGTCAGTGTACGGCTGAAATCAGCCATACAAGCCTGAAATGAATAGCCGAACACTTCACTTCGGGTCGGTTATTCACTCGGCTGCCTACGGCAGCTTAGTGAATAGACCCCTAAATTAAATAAACTACCCTAAATACACCCCATAAAAACCCACACCCACTAAATAAAAAAAGTAGATTTAATTAAGAAAATGACACCTAAGCAGCTCAGTGGACAAAATGAAGAGTTTCTGCTTTGTCAGAATTTTGCAGACGAAAAACATTGGTGATTTCCTTTGCTCATTCCAATTACATAGCATATTCTAAGAATTATTTCTGTGTTTAATTTATTAAAATATTCACATCCAGTTGTGACTAACAGACATGGAGCAAATACATTTCATTCAACCTTAGTAATTATCTTTTAATCCTCCTGAGATTCCTTATGTCCATTTGACGATAATCGTGGGAAATCCCGCAATCGTACGATAATCGCAAAGTGTATGGAAGGCTTGCAACCGTTTTTACTATACGGTTGCATGTCTTTTGTCTAAGGAGCATGTTCGAAATCCAGCCCAAAATCGTACGGGACAGGTTTGTGGCATGCTCGGCGAGACAAATGCCGAACGGGCCGGTGTGCGCACGCGCACACTGCCCGTTCAGTATTGCGGTCATCGCAAGCCCGCCCCTCAGCGGGGCGGGCTTGCGATGATCGCGAGTACGATCTGCCTGTCCAAAATGGGCAGATCGTACGTTTTTTAAATTACTTTACAACCATCGCAAGACTAAGGTCTTGCAATGGTTGTAAAGTGTATGGCCACCTTTAGAGACTACTGACGATTACATATTAAATGGGAAATATGAAGAGATTCTACATTTTTTTATATCCACTGTTTCTCTTAGGCCACATTCACACCTATATTTTATGTGCTATTAGGGATTCCTGTGCTAGTAGCTTGTGATTTCCTGCAGCAGGAATCCCTCATCTGTGGTTTACTGGTAGCTGTCACGCGTTCAAATTCATGATCGAGCGATAACCGCTGCATTTGAATGCAATCGTATGTGATAGCATTACATGCGGTTAGGAATCACCCATGGATGCATGGGTGACCGGGACAGGGATTCCTGTTACAGGAAATCACAAGTTCGCACTTAAAATATAGATGTGAATGGGGCCTTAAGGTGCAACTAAAGGCAGCATTTGTCCATTTTCATATGTTCCAGGAAACCCCATGACAGTCCCATACATAAATTACTTTTAGCATAAATTAGAAAATGGCATAAATAAATAAATTATTATTGAGGTAAAATTCTTACATCAATAAGAATACATAAAAGTAGTTAATTATCAACCTTGTGTTCCTCCGCTACAGAATACTGACACTGCTGTTGTAAAAGTGTTATGTAGAGCTAGCATATATCCCATAATGCACTACTTCTCCTATGATGCGTTTGTCACGCTCACTCAAAGAAATAGGTACTTTCTTCTGCCGGTCTCTGCTGCAATTTCTGTCAAACAGAAAGATTGCAGATGGAAGGGCATATTGCATATTGTGTGTCCATCCATTGTGTGAAAAGCTAGGGCATTGTCAATGGTTTCAGCCATGCCCACTCTGATACAAACATGTTCTGCTGCATTCTATTCTGGAAAAGGCTTGGCGTAAAAGATGCACCCCAATCTCACCCTTTAGACGTTTTGTTTTTTTTGCCAAATGTATCTTTGTTCATTGTGGCCAAATAATTGTATTTCTTCAGTCTACAGCACACAAAATCTGTCTAGCTTATCCCTCTGCTGTGTTGTAATGTTCAATCTATGAGATGATAGTTAAAGCAGAACTCCAGGCACAATTTTTCTTAACTCTTTCAGCGAGGCTATCCTTGCACTGCAAGGGTTAAGTGCTTGTTTGTGTATAGGTGCTAAAAAGAGTTATACCCACCCAAACAAAAGACCCGGCTGTAAGCTACTTCTGTCCCTGAAGCCTGTCTTCCCCGCTGCAGTGATGGTATGTCCCTCTGCGTCCATATGTCCTATACACTGTGTAGAACGTGTTGATTCAAGGATTCTCAGACTGCTGCAGCGGAGGGGGAGATAGGCCCCAGGGACCAGTCTAAGAGCAAGTCAGCTCTAAGGATCGGGTGAGTATAGCATTGTTATTTTAGCAACTAGACACAAACAAGCACTTAACCCTTGTAGTGTGAAGGTAGCCCCACTGCAAGGATTAAGAAACATTTTGCCCAGAGTTCTGCTTTAAATAACTCCAGGCAGATATAAAATACTAATGAATTCAAATCTGTAATCATTAATCCATCATTAAATGTATATTTTTCAATTCAAGCAGTGTACTGTAAGTACATGTATTTGACTTGGTATCAACCTGTGGCAGTCTCTGTACAGCAGAACGCCACCTGGGAGAAAATCAATGGATGTGCTGGCAAGGAGCATGCTAATACGAGGAGAAAAAAACAGAGTGACAAGGTCAATTCTGTGCTGCTTATCCTTTACTGTCCATTCACAGGTTGGGAGCGGGTCTATAACAGCCTTGGCTCTGAGAAAGTAGGTTGAATGATAATGAGTGCAATTTAACCTGGTAGACTGACTGGCAGCCCTGAAAAGAAGGTGAGTATTGTAGCAAAATCTTTTTTACTTTTCTTTTTAATGGGTATTTTTTTATTTGCAACTGCAGAACTGCTTTAAGTTTTTCTTTTAAAAATGTTCTGTAGATCAAATGCATGCAGGCAATGCTCCCTAGCTGCACACTGGACTACCGAAAAACAACTTCCATGAGAGCTAAATCTTCCCGCACGTCCAAAGAAGCGACATGAAGGCACGGTTTTATACAAGCAATTCTTCCTTGTCTACACTTCATTAGATCACCTTCATTTTAATATGTTTTTGCCATTCCAGACAGTAGCAGTTACAAGCAGGAAGCATTTATATATCAGCTTTTACATTTATACACTGCTTTGACAACAGTCTGTTATCTTATTTTCAAAGCACTAATCATCCTGTGGCTGTTGAGTGTACAAATAACACCTTGAGAGGTTTCAAAGATCAAAATGTATTAAGCTCTGGAATTGTCTTCACTTGACCTGGATTAAGGCCTAGAGAGTATATGAAGTTCTGGAATAACATTAGTGGAAAGCTGGAAAGGTGCCAAAAATTTGAACATGACACATTTAAACTTCTTTTTTTAAATTTGTTAGATTAATTTAATAAATACAGTAGAAACAATTTGGAGAAACATATTAAGCGTCAGATACGTTTCATCCCGTGACTTCCTCGGTCACGTGCTGCTCACAAAGGAAGTCGCAAGACGAAACGCATCTGAGCGGCGTTTGATGATGTCACTCTAAAGGAAGGAAAGAAGCGATGCTGTGGATGGTGTGTACCAGCCAGACCAGCCAGAGCGATGTCTTAACGAACTTTCAGTAAACGGTTACTTTTAGAATAATGGTCTTTTATATTTTATCGTAAGTACAATATTTGTATGAATAAAGTCACCTCAAGTGAAGGCTACACGCGTTTGTTTGTGTGTTTGAGCTCTGATAGGAAACTAAGAGAGCGGTGGCATTGGAAAACAAACAGTGGATCCCTGGGGTGAAGGAAGGTCCAAACCCAGAAGAGATACTGCCAGTTTTAATCTAAAAGAGCGGTTATTGACCATGTAACACACTGGTCACTCCTGTCTGGTGATTCCATTAGATTGTTGCACAAGGGTGCATTACAAAAGGATTCTTAATTTGAAGCACATTGAAGATTGTCACTGTTTTTGGGGTAAAGTCTACCACTTGTTTGGCACATATATGGACGGAGGCAATCAATTTGGGACTTCTGCGTTGACATATTTAGTTTGTTGTACTTGATGATTTTTTGTATTGTATTTATTATCTGAATTAGGGGTTTGATGAGATTAGTAATTCACAGTTGAATTGCATATAATTGATTAAGCATTAATGAAGTGTTAATATAGAGGGCAGTGTTAATTATTATACAATTACAATGTAATTATTTGATAGATTCACTATTTAATTTAATTAGATACTAACTATATAGCATAGGGTTAGGTCAGTTTAGTTAGAGTGTCGGTTGATTTAAGGCCGGTGCACATCTAGGCGACACCCCACCGTGCGGCAATTGTGCACAATTCCGCGGATTGCCGTGCAGTCAGGAGTCGCCCAGGTGTGCACCGATCACACTCTGGGTGCCATTATTTTCCAGTCGCACCGGGCAGATCGCGTGGTTTCCTGCCGCGATTTTGTCCGTGCTTCTGAACATGATCACGGCTAAAACAGCCACGCATCGTGTATCGCAGTAAAAAGGTCAAGTACCTGGAATGTGGGATGGCGCAGGAGCACTACGCACGCGCTTCTGCGTCTTCATGCATCTTGCGCATGCGCACTGGCCACACCAGCGCTAGATGCCCTGCCAGAAGGAGCCCCGTGCCAGCGCTGGCGAGCCTGGTGAGGAACGGCCCCCCTGGGTCCCTGACATGGTGTTACAGAACCTTATCATATAGTCTGTTAATAGAGACAGTACACATTACAAAATGGGAAACGAATAGCATGGGGTTCCCCAAAAAATTCCAGGTCCTTATATAGGCATTCAACCTGTGAGGGCAGCGAGCGTGCAGCCTCCACTTCCTATACCATACAAGGCCACATGCCTTCCTAATTTGTGGGGGTATCTTGCATGACCATATTGGGATCTGGGATCTGTCATTTAGTGATGGAAATGTGGCAGGTACATCATGATTGACCAGGGTGCATTTGTTATTTAATTTAAAATCTTCCTGGGCATGTGTAAGGGCTTCTAATGTACCCCTGTGCTCATTTGGATATCTGGTGTTCTCTTATTATAAGTTTCCCAAACCCCCACATTTTGGGGGGCCAAATGTAGGAAAAAGGGGGAGGCTTTCACAAGTAAGTACTTAAGTCTTTAGATGTGGTGGCTGCATTAGTTTTCATTTTTCAATCTTTTTATGCTTACCTGGTGATGTCCTAGGGCGTCACTATAGGGCAGGAAGTATGCTAGGACTATAGAAAATCTCACACTCCTCATCTCCATAACACAGGGGAGTAGTGTTCTGTAATTTAGAGAGGTGAACTGGGTAGGGCTGATAACACTGCTCGAGATTTTAGTGCAGCAGAGGCATAGTGCCCAGGAATTTATGTACTTCCTTGACTACTGGCAGGTTCAGCAGGTAATTTTTTTGTACTTAATGAACAGATATAGCAAAAGTCTTTCAATAGCATATTTACATTGTTGGGTTTACACACACTTTAAGGACCTGATATTCTCATTATGCAACCTTCAATGATTCAGCTAGTTCTCAGGTACATGTTTTGGGCTTGGTTGTAGTAGGGGGTATTTAGCAAATGTGATGTCTAATCTGGTTAGATAAAACAATGACAAGAATAATGCAATGATAAAAAAGTTGACACAAGGGTAATATTTGCCTTACTACTGGTTCAAGAACAGGTAGCAAGTACCACTTACTGCATAGGTCATATATGCTCATATATACTGGTTCATATACTTTTATAAAGCGCTATACATACTTGTATATCATTGTTGCTCTGTTTACAAATATATTTGAAATCAAGTTTTTTTAAAGCTTGACTAAGGCCTCATTCACACTGCTAAGAGCCATCCTGTCTGCGTACGAGTACAGACACCCGAACCCGCACGGAAGTGCAGTTCGGGTGAGCGTAGGGCGGCATACGGCCACGCACTCCCATAGAGAAGAACAGGGTGCTGCGTACAAATCACGAGCAGCACCTACAGTATCTATCCCGGAAGTGGCCCGATACGGCCGTGCACGCCGCACCGATCTGTATGGGCCGGCTCTTAGCAGTGTGAATGAGGCAAAAAGCGTGGTTCACACAGACAACAGACTTTACCTCCCCCTGAAAAGCTATCGCAGTTGATAACCACTCTGCAGGCACTCAGGAGGTATACTGCTGACTCCTGAATGCCTGGTCTTCTTCTTTTTTATCCCAATTGGGATTTTGCATTGCAATAGCATACTCTAACCCCGTGCCAAGCAATTGGCACAAGGTTGGAACGTGGTCCCATTGACTGCAATTGTCAAGTTTGGCAAATTACACTGTCTGCCAAATGTGACATGCTGTATAAAACTTGCTGAGGCTGCAAAGCAAAGCATTGCTGTCATGACATATAGTATGTACAAACCTGAGTGGCCGCCATGTTAGGTTTTAGGTGTTGACTGAGAGTGGGGATTAAAATGTGGATCACCCATCTAATTTTAAAGGCCCTTTGCTCCCCATGTGAACGAGGACAAAGAAACAAAACATGTTTTGAAAGCTTGCACATTTAAGGGCTTACGTTAGTCAGTAAAGGGTGTCACTTAAAGTGTATTTATAGCTCTTTTTTTTAACATTTTGAATAGACTGGGAAAGGGTTCCAACTTCTGTCAGGTTTTACTGGTATCCACTGGTATCTCTCATTTTTCTGTTCTGGGAACAACCAGACATAAAGTGAGGAACATTTTTCAACGGTGAAACAGACAATAAAAAGCAGGGGTTCTAGTGTTCTCCTACTTACCTTAAAAAAAACATTTTTTACTTCTGTCTGTGTTGCTGTTTGAGAATTCCCCTAATTTCCTATCTGGTGAAAAGGTTATCCTCGAGACTGTGAGAAAGGAGAACGGAGTCTCAGATAGCAATAAAACCTGACAGGAGTTCTGATACTTCTTTCCTCTATCCAAAACTAGAAAAGAAAAACATTTCATTTTCAAAATATCACAATACCTAGCATTAAAACACTCTAACATTTTTATACAAATGTTCAAATAAATGCTGGGATATAAAAAAAGAATTCCTATGAAGAAACCTGTTTCACAGCTTATAAATATCAGGTTGAATAGTTTCATGGTCCATTGTGCATTTCCATGGGCAAAGAGTACAGTGATTCACATATTCTGCCTCAGTGCACCATTTCTGATATAATAAAACAAGAGCATTCCTCCGGCAAACATATTTTCTGTGAATCCAAAAAAGAACTCTGACAACGATGTGCTTTTGTTCTGTAGCTCTACAAAACAAATATTCTAATTTGGCACTGAATAAGCAATTTGTATGTTCCAAACCATCTTGATTATTAAAGATGAAGATGACAATAACAAATGACTGGCATTGATTCTTATAACCTCATTAAACAATGCAAACATTCTGTAGACTACCTCAGTAAGATTATTTCTATAGTACAACTTAAAGCTAACCACTGAAATTGTATTGTTGGGTGCTATGGGTGATTTTTCTTTCCTATTCATCAAATTATCATCCCAGGAAAAAGTTTACTTAAACAAATTTAAATATGATTTATTTATGGGGTAATTGTTTAAACATACAATCTCCGAAATCCAAGCAATCAATAAATACTGTACACAATTTAAATACATATATGTGGCCCATTAGACATGTGCACCGGCACAAAAATGTGTTTTGCTTCGTTTTCATTTGGATTTTCCTTTATTTAGTTTTTCGGGATTCGGGTCCGAAAGTCAATTCAGTTCGGTATTTGGATTTGTACGAAATTCGTTAGCAGTAGATTCGGACGAAATTCGCTAGCAGTAGTCTGTACGAATTTTCATTTGCGGACAAATTTTCATTGCAGCAAAGGGACATTAGACAAAAAAAAAAGACTTTTTCTTTTATAGTCTGCAGAAGAGAAAAACAAAGTGTGAGGTTCCCCCCAATTGATAACAGACCCTTTAGGTCTGGTAGGAATGTTAGGAGGGACCCCTAAAGTGAAAAAAACTAATTGTGCGTGGGGTTCCCCCCTAAAGCCCTACCAGAACCTTTAGCTCTGGTAGGGATTTAAGGGGGAATACCAGCCCCAAAAAATGGGGGGGGAAAGTGGGGTCCCCCCTAAAATTCCTACCAGACCCTTGATCTGAGCACAGGCCTGGCAGGGCAGGAGGGGGGGGGGGCGCACCATACCAGGCCACGGGCCCTCGGCATTGGGAGGGTATCCCATGCCGATGGGGACAAGGGCCTCTTCCCCACAACCCTGACACAGTGGTTGTGGGGGGTCTGCGGGCAGGGGAGCTTATTTGCATGAGGGTACCCCTTTAATTAAGGGGCACCCATCGATGTAATCCAGCGTCAATCACGATGCACGCGACCCGCCGAAATAAAAAAGTCCTGCCGCGCGACAACCGTCCGAACCCGATACATCCGAATCTCTGAATAACGAAAATTCGTCTGAATAACGAATCTTTCCAAAACGAATCGCATATGTCTATGAACTATTACCTACTAAAAGGATGTGTTAGTCTGCTCAGCCAGCCTTGGGATACAGGCACTGCATTCAGGCGCAGTTAAAGCAGGGCTTGACAAATCCCAGGAGCTAGGTAGCCAATGCTACTTACAAATCACAGCTAACTAGGACTAAGGACTAACATTTGAGATTGTCTCTACTAGTTGTCAATGCAGCTGGCTTCTAGAAAATCCTGCTGGCTCCTGAAATGGACAGACTCACTCCTAAATTCCATGTTTGTTTTTCCAGCCCAGTTAACCCAGTTAAAGTAAAACAAAATCCCCTCTGGAGGATTAATGTACATTGCAAGGAGTTTAACAAACTTTGTTTCAAACGAATAAAATTTTCTGTTGTAAATAAAAAACTTTTAGGGGGTTATTCACAAAAGGGCGAAGAGTTTGGAGAAGGCAGAAGTGAACAATCTAGGACCACATAGCTGAACTGGAAAGTGAGCTGAATTGGAGAATTTTTCCAAATCAGCTATATGGTCCTAGATTGTTCACTTCTCCTGCCTTCTCCAAACTCTTCACCCTATTGTGAATAACCCTGTTAGTTTCCACTAAGTGCTTTCTGAACTGATCCCTGGTTGGGGGGGTCTAGTTCGTTATAACCACCTGATGCACTTTAAGTGTTCACAGTTCACGAAATGGGAAAACTAAATGGGCTGGTTGCCCACCTGCCGAAGCAAACCTCCAACTGCTGCAGAAAGTATTTCATGTAGTGGTGATACCACCACAACTAATTTTGACAGCTTCCCACTCAGACCAGTGCATTTACACCTCCTTCCTTTGTAAAATGAGGTTGCATCCCTGGTTTACATTCAGCTCCTTTAAACAAAGAGGTCAGGGATGCTGGCTGACATCATTTATCAAAAGTGGTCATGATCATATTTGAAAAAATTGTAACAAAGTGCTAGAGGTTAGATTAATTAAAGGTATAGTTGAGTAATCGGTGATTATATTAAGTAATAAAAGTGTTGAATAAATTCAAATGTTCAGGCAAAAATAATAGGTGAAGGGAGCTGTGTGTTAACACAGCCTACAAAGGGTTAAGTTGATCGTTAGTCAGTGTTATAAACGTCCATAAATAATATCTTAAATTAAATTGTATCAAACAACCTATAAAAGGAGCAAAAAACAAAAATCCAGAAGAGTATACACGTATGTGGATGATCGTGACAAACTAGGATGATACCGAATATAGAACAAAGTATTTGTTAAAGTGTTGCATTGAATCATCAGTCAGTAATGTATAACAGAGATCGTGATAGCCACTCAGAGGCAATCAACAGTCTGTATCTATCTTAGGCTGATCTACAAGTAGCGATCTTGCAGTGAAGTTATCAGATAGACGAAAACAGTGTTCAGTAGACGATATTTAGAAGCCGGGAGAAAAAACACAAGGCAGATATTGGCTGATCAATTTCAATTTAGTCCAACGGCCCCCCTATTGGTACTCACCAGAATGTAGTGAGTACACAGATATCTTAGATTAGCGACAGTTTGGTCCATGGTCCTGCCCCGTTTTGAACTGGGTTATTCCCGCGTTGAAACTCGGCAAGAAGGGAGTTTGTTCTCTACAGTGCTGGAACTGTCTTACAGACACAGAGTCGATTTCTCCTGAGTGCGCCTTCAGCGGACCTTCTCTCAGAGATCCCCAACAGTTTGCGCAGCGCTTTACAATATAAGGAAGACATTACAATCACAAAACAACCCAAGACAAGATGGTAAGGAGGGCCCTGCCCGTGAGGGCTTACAATCTAAAAGGGAGGGGCAAGTGATACATGAGGCGGTAGCTGCGTGGGGATGAATTGTTTGAGATGTATTGGTTTCTATAAGGTGGGATAATTATTTCAATATTTTGAGGTGCTGTTTGTAAAGTTCACCTCCAAGCAAATTTGCTGAAACCCCTATGCCTCCCCCCTCTCCTCTGCCGCCCATTCACAATTTAAATGTAACCCCTTTCTGAGTCCGTTTATAGTAACCGGAGTCCACTGTCATGTGAACATCGAAGGCACTTCTTCTGGGAGTGAAGATCACTAATCCAACCGGTCTTATTGGAGCTCCATGCCATGATGTCATCGTGGCATGGAGCTATAAAAGAGCGTTTAAGGACCCTATAGGAAGTGGACACATCATCACGCAGAGACACATGTAAGTATTTGGGCCATTTAATTTAAGATTTTTTTTAAATCAATCAGTCAATTTGCTATAGGGGGTTATTGTTTAATAGGGTAGGGAATCCTTGGTTGGACTGTTGTAAGCATTTACAATTCATTTTGTGGTAAATTCTTTCATTGTGCAAAAATCAGTCCATCCACCTTTTTAAAAATGCCATAACAGCTTTAGACCTGCTGCATTTTATTTTGTAGCCAATTGGGTTTTACTGAACCCATTGTTCTCAGAAGGTATTGAAGGATTTAGATTGAATTTATACGCAGCACATCCTATTTTACCTTCAGTATTTGAAGCCCTGCCATTGACGTGAGCAGGTGTGGACCTGATCGGATTCAGTAGAAATATTATTTTTCTGTTGTGCTTGCTAAGTTCCAACAAAGTGCATATCTTGTACATTCCTGTTGGTATCAGTCCTAGCAAAGTAACTTTTGGTTTTACATGTATGTTTTTCAGCAGCTGAGGTTGAGATGACATTGTCAGCCTGTAAGTCATACCAAATTTACAGCTCCACTTTGAAAACTGTTTGAACATTTGATCAGTTTTTATGGCAACCTCCAGGTTATTCTAGGCTAATGTAGAGCATTTGTTAGACCTACTAACATCTTATCGTTTCTGCTGTCAAATTGCTTTTAAATCTAAAGGTCTTATTATAAGTAATGTAAGCACATAGCCGCCTTAGGCAGCAAAATAGGATGGAAAGACCATACAGCATTAAATAATTCTCATTGGAGTATTTTGGTCATATCAGGTTGAGACAAAAATAGTTTATTGTGCGTGTTTCTCTTAGGGCTATGCCATAAATGATGATAGAAAAACACCATGTAAAGTAGATTTCATTCAGTACAAAACCCAGTAATGAATTAATGTAATATCCAGTACCAGAAGTAACAGAAGTGATATTAAACCCTCCGTTTTTTTTTGCATATATCTACTGCTAGTAAGCAGTAGATATATGCAAAAACTTTTTTGTTTTAAAGCCGCTTTAAAAAAGGTTAATACTTACCTGTGTCTTCCCCGCGCGCTCCCGTCCGAAATTCTGAAAAATTTTGGGTGGCTGCAAAGGATCTTGGGGCAGGCACATGCACAGTTCACATTTTTGGCCAGGAGATGAGGAGAGACACAAGGTAAGTCTATGGACGCCGTGCACCCGCATGCAGACACCGTGGGACAGGAAGTGCCAGCAAGCACAGAGGAGTCAGCGCTGGATCAGAGACCCGCTGCAGCCCTGGAGAGAAGGCTTAAAAGGACAGGAAAGAAGAAGAAGATCTGATTAAGAGACATCATTTAAGGTAAGTGCTTACATTAACATTGGGGGGAGGGAGAAATGTTTTATCCTTTAATGTCACTTTAAATGAAGGTTAAATCAGTTTCCAGAATTACTGTCTGTTTTTTAATCGAATGGTGTCAGACAGGATGGTTAATATAGATATGTCAGAAAAAGGGCATTTGGAGTTCTAACAGACTGAAAACCTTAGTGGACTGTGATTTACTGCACCATTATAAACAGTAATCAAAATTAAAAAAAGCAAATTTGGGTAAATAAACATTCACATTATTTATCACTGAATTTTGAGGTTTACTAGACTTACCTGTCTAAACGTAATTCTCTGAAATCGAAATTCGGACGAAATTTCAGAGATTCGGATGTATCCGATCTCCAAAATACTGAAATAACGAATGCAAACGAATCCGAATTTCCGATTCCGAAATTCGTTGGCAGTAGTCTGGATGAAATTTAGCTTGCTGGATGAAATTTCATTGCAGCAAAGTGACATTAGAAAACATTTTTTTTTTACAGTCCGCAGAAGAGGAAAAAAGTGTGAGGTTCCCCCCCAATTCATACCAGACCCTTTAGGTCTGGTAGGAATGGACCCCCTAAGTTAAAACAAAAAAAAAGTGCGTGGGGTTTCCCCCAAAATCCATACCAGGCCCTTTAGGAATTTTAAGGGGGAACCCCAGCCCCCCCCCCCCAAAATGGGGGGGGACATGGGATCCCCCCTAACACTCCTACCAGACCCGGCAGGGCAGGAAAGGGGGGGAGCGATCAAGCATCCCCCCCCTCCCTGCGCCTTACCAGGCCACATGCCCTCGGCATTCGGATGGGGACAAGGGCCTCTTCCCCACAACCCTGAACCGGTGGTTGTGGGAGTCTGCGGGCAAAGGGGCTTATTTGCATCAGGGTACCCCTTTAATTAATTAAGCAATTGACGCTTAAGTGATCAGCCGATCCAGATGTTGGATCGGCTAAGTTGATCGGATTCTGCACTTCGGCTGACCGAAAGCAGCCGAAGTCATTCGATGTACGGCTAATTTTAGCCAATGAACAGCTGGAATCTGCTGCATGCAGTCAAAGTGAATAGCCGAACGACGTTCGGCTCAGTTCACTTCGGCTCGGTTATTCACTCGGCTGCCTTTGGCAGCTGAGTGAATAACCCCCTAAATGTCAACCAGGTGAGGTCTAGATTGACTTCAACCAAAGTAGCATTATGTCATATACAATACAAATATGGACGAATTTGTTGGTACTCTTACAGCTCATTGAAACAATGAGCTCCTGAAAAGTCAATACATTAAAAGCAAATGGTTCTCAGCCTTTAAATTGAGAAAAAAAAGTTGATCTGTTGTGTGGTATTATTATGTGTACCACACTGAACATGCATCAAAGAAACCAAAGATGAGATCAGAAAGAAAATTATACACCAGCATGTCAAAGATAAAGGCCATAAGACCATCTCCACACAGCTTGATGTTCCTGTGACCACAATTGCAAATATGATTAAGAAGTTAAAGATCCATAGAAAAGAGTTTAGCCAACCTTCCTGGACATGACTGCAAGTGGAAACATTTACTCCAAATTGAACCAAAGAATAGTGCAAATGGTAGAGAAAAAGCCAAGGGAAAACTTCCAAAGAGATGCATTAAACTCTAAGGTCAGGGTAAATCAGTGTCTGATCACAGCATCTGTCACTTTTTGAGTGACAGCGAGCTCAAAGGAAGAAGACCCAAGAGGACTCCACTTTTGAAAGGAAAACATAAAACCAGACTGATTTTTGCTAACATGCTTCTGAGAGAATGTGCTTCCTACAGATGAGAAAAAACTAGAGCCACATCAGCTATACGTTCAAAGACAAAGCTTCAAAGAAAAAGAACAGTGTACCTACTGTGAAACATGGAGGAGGCTTAGTTATGGGTTGGGGCTGCTCTGCTACCTCGAGACAACTACAGCAGTTTGTTCAAGAAACATGGGTCAAGCTACCCTCTGGCAGATGCATAAGTCTATTTGAGAGCTACAGAAGTTGTTTGTTTGTAGCAATTTCCATTAAAGGCTGTGCAACAAAAGATTAGGTTTGTGTTAATATTTTTCCATGCCAAATAGGAAGTGGCGGAGGAAGTTTCAGGTGTGTGTAGCCTGCCTTAGGTTCACTGTGGACAAAAGGAGGTTTATTCTCTACATGGTTGGGTACGATAACTGCTGCTATGTATATGGACTTTTAGTTTGCTTTATGGGCATTATATTACTGAAATAATCCAGTACTTTTTTTATTTAGGACTTCTGTTTTTTGTTTCTTATATGCAGCTGGAGTAAAGCCTGTTAAGGTCACAATAAAGACTGTTTTTGTGACAAATATTTTGATGTCCTGCATTCCAGCCAAACCCTTAATTATCACAACTGGTGGAGGATGTGGGCAGAGACAAAAAAAGAGGGTAACATTTTAAGGGACAGTACCCTTTTTGTTTTGTTTGTTCGGAATTGAGATGGAAGAAATATTAAAACCATTAATGGTGGCTAATGCTACAAAGCAGCAGGCAAATGCAGAGCTGAGTCTGCAGCAGAATCTGGAACCACAGAAAGAAATACAGAAGCCCAGCTATCTGCCATATGGGAGACCACAGCAGCACAAATAAAAAGCTACGGCTGATCCTTCGGCTACCTTTGTGAATAACCCCCTTAGTCTCCTGTGTTTTTTTTTTTATTTGGGCTTCCTCTTTCAAATCTACTGCTCTGTCACTGCTAATCTGCTTTTCTATTTTGCTGTGCAAGCTCTGTTGACCTTCCCCACTATTCTGTTAGTTCATGCTCTCTTCTTGACTATCCTTGACCCGATGGACAAGCCTATGCAGCATCTGCCTGCTTCCTGGATCAACAGTGATTGCATACATATAAATGCATTGTGTTACTGCTTACCTCCATATTCCTTTGAGTACTTCTGCAGCTAAAAAGTTGTCAAGTGACCATATGATCTGCATACACATAAACTATATTCTCAAAACTGAGCCAGTCTGAAAGAAGAAGCCATTTTCGATTATTCTACCTTGAGACAAACCATAGTCTCGGTCACTTTCCTGTCAGAGATTGGATGATAGAATGAAAGAACTTATCTTGATTATCTTTTACTTTCTATAAATCGCAGAAATGAGGGATGTTCAGATACCAAGTACCGTACTCGGTACAAGTACATGTACAGATACTTTTCCAGCTCCAGGACTAGACTAGAGAAAAATGCAAAAGTTAGGAGGCAGCTGTCATTTTTATGGAGCATACAGAGCTCCTAGAGTTTGTACATCCCTGTTTTAAAGTATGATTTGTTTTATATCAATATATAGTAGGGATGCACCGGTACCATTTTTTCAAGTACAAGTACTGATACTTGTCAAGTACTCACAGACACAAGTGCTGATAAATTTTTGTTTATTGTCATGTGACAGTTTTTCTAAAACAATTTAACCCCAACCACCTTCTCCTCAGGCCCGCCAGGTGACCAGAGGTCATGCCCAGACCATACATACTTACCAGTGGCCTGGTTAATTATGCTGGAACCACCCTCTAATACTGTTTATGCATCCTGGTGACTGTTGGACAACAGGAACAGAGGGCAAATCTTCCGATGGGGACAATGGGGACACTTGTTTCAGTGACAATGGTGGAAAATTCCCTAAATTAGAAAGATTTCCTATCAGGTCCTCTGGGGTCCAGT